ATTAGAAATAATTATGCCAATAATTAGAAATAGCATAAGATTTTTGTTGAACTAGTCATTGAAAGAATTGCTAAAGATGGTAAAATAATTTTAAATAAGAATGTAGTGAATTATTTCATTTAGAAATAAATCGAGTATACTGAGAAATCCGTTACTCTTGGTTATCCTGCCACTGAAAACTGTATTTTTTTATTGTGTTACGATAACTAGGTTTGAATCAACAATATAACTTAATAATTTACCAATTTTAGCCACAGGCCTACAAAAACTTGCATCTGCATTTAAATGAATGTGTCAGTAATCCCAGCAAGTCCAGTAAAGGAAAATAAAATTTTAGGTATGTTATTATCAGAAGGGTTAAGTGCAAAAGGATATATGTAGATTCATGCAGGTCTTTTGCTTCTTTGTGCTTCTTAAATTAAACTCTAATGATACTGAAGAAAGTAACAGTGTGAGCTAGGACCTATTTCTCCAAGTGATAGCCAGTAACGGAATGGAAAAATATTGTGTTCTAAGGCTACTCAGGCTACATGGTATAAGACGACTGAATTTTAAATGCCCGTTCTTTTGATACTGTTCCAATTAATGTCAAATAATAAACTAGCCCAGGGATTAGATGAACGCAAAGGAAGCTTAATCTGTTTGTTTAGTTATGACAAGGGGAAGTATTGGACAGCTGTAGGATTTGATCCTTGGTCCTATCCCATTGAGCCTGTTTCTAGAAAACTAATAGCTATTTCTTACTAGAAGGACACTAAAACATATTTCCTAGGAAAGTAGGACTTGATATTTGCAAGGTAAAAACAAGTACAAGATTGATCTGAATTCCAAATACCTCAATCTTTTTTTTATTAAGGTGAATCTTATAGGTCCCTCTACCTGTCACAAAGAATGAAAATTGAAATTTATCTGCATCTTTGAAAAAGCAATTTATCTATTATTCAGAAAGTCTTCATAGTCCTTGAATTAGGGAATTAATACATCAAAAATGGGATTTTCCTAAAGTTACGATACTATCAATTCTTATTTCTCAGTTGATGGACATCATTGTCTCCTAAATAATATGAGATTAGAGCATTTCAGCTCCGTTGTACAAAACAGTGAAGACTGACATAAAACCATCGTAAGATTAATATTTATTATATTCATAAACACTTGAAATTCAGTAGAGCAAAGTCAATAGTATGATAAACAATTATTTCTTTAATTGCATGGCAGATTTTATAGTCCATTAAACTTTATTGCTGTAAATGATACATTTATAGATTAGCATGGCAGCAAAGTACATGTCAATGTAGCTCAAATGTCAACAGATGCTCTCAAAAGAAGTATTTTCAGTTTCTTCCCTCTCTCTTACTAAAGTATTGATGCATAAACACAAGAGTTCCAGAACTGACAACATCTCCGTGGCTCAAGATGGGAACAAAATGACTACAGAAAGCTTTGAGTAGGGGGCATCATCAGCATCGCAGGAATAGTCACTGAAGTCCAATTCCAAGCACTGGTGGAAGGGAATTATCCATGTGGAAAGGAATTATCCATGTCTAATCAAAGTAGAAAGTAGGACCCCTGAAAATGAGGCCTGTGTGATTCTGCCCTCTCCAAGTATCAGACTGTACTTTTGGTCTGCCCTCTGCTTGAAATGGCAGTGTCTCCTCCTCTAGAGAGGCAAACCAGTCAATGGTGTTGCCTTCTAGCACCCTATGGGCACGAGTCTGGGGCCTTGTTTCCTCAGCTGAGGAGGAAAAGGGACTCGACGTTGGAAACTGGCTCATGTAGGAATGACGTTGGCAAGCCCTGATATACTGAATTAGGGATTGAAGTTTCTGTTTGAATACAGGGATTGTGTGACAGCACTCCGAGCTAATGATGCAGGTTGATTGCATATTGAGACAGTATTATCACACTGTACATTTGATCTCTAGTTTTAAGGTTTTCTTGATAAGTGTGCAAGTTAGTAACATCACTCGTTCTTAAAGAGAAAACATTTCCTAAGATTCTCTGGCCATAGCCAGAATTCTGTGCTAGAGCTATGGACCAATATCCAGCCCCAAAATTAAGAAAGATAAACTTCACTAAATCTTCTCAAATTGTAGAAAAATATTTTTATCAGAAGATTCAGCATGAATTTTGTGATGTTCATCACTGCTTTTTTAAATTAATTTGCTATTTGAAGAATAATGACTCCTATGTAGCAATCCCAAATCATATTTATTCATGTTACAGTGTTTGTGGAGAGGTAAAGAAAGAAATCTGTATTACTTGAAACAAAAGTAGCTGCTAGGTTAGATATTTTGTAAAGTTGAGGTTACTGCATTCTGTGAACAACAATAAAAATATCGTTATTTAGTAATCATTGCAACTTGAACAAGCAGCAGAATATGTAGCCTATGGAGTAAACACCTGTACTTTATTAGGGACATGATTTATATAAAGCCAAGAAATTAATATTTATCTCCCTCAAGAAAATCGGTCTCTAGTTTGAAAATGGGAAATATTTTTGGGCATTTTTTCTCAGTTTTATATTAATTTTAAGTGAATGGAACTAGTTTCCCTTACACAAAACCTTTTCCTTGATACTTACATATTTATGGAAGATGGTCTTTTTAAAATGACCAAAAAGGGCAGTTAAAGTTCTTCCTAGAATGATTTAATATATGTGTGTGTGCGTGTGTGTGGTTGCATACATGTGAGGGAGGGTGTGCTAGGCGATATCTACAATAAAATACAAAGGAATTTTACATAGAAACATCAAAATACGTATGTCCTTCCATTTTTGCCATGCAAATCTAAAAGCCAGTCACTGAAGTCGCAGGAGGGAACAAGAGAGAACCTATTTTAAGCTCAGTGTGTCTCAGGTGGTCCACTAAAATGTGCTCTTGAGTACTTCAGTGCATCACAGCACCTTGTTCTGTGTGAAGGTGGTAGCTGGTTTTTTTATCTGAACTTAATAGGAGCAGATCATAAGTGCTGAACGCAGTTAAATGCCTATGCAGAGATTGATAATGACTTTTCTATTAAGTGTTGTCTATTCAAGGACTTTACTTTTCCAGCTTCTTTAAAAAAAAATACTGTCTATTTTTATCTGCTCTTACATATGGTCACTGTCGTGGTTTAACCCCAGCCGGTGACTGAGCACCACACAGCTGCTCACTCACTCCCCGCCCACAGTGGGATGGGGGAGAGGATTGGAAGGGTAAAAGTGAGAAAACCATGGGTTGAGATAAGAACAGTTTAATAATTGAAATAAAATAAAATAGTGGTAGTAGTAATAATAATAATTAAAAAAGAATATACAAAGCAAGTGATGCACAGTGCAATTGCTCA